CCCCCCCCCCCGCTTTTTTGTTTTGCTCCAGTTATTTTTTAGATAGGATCTCTCACTTTTTGCTGGGAGACTGGGATCCTCCTACCTATGCCTTCCATATCACTGGGATTACAAATGCACACCAAGTCTGGCTTATTTGTTGAGATGGGTCTTGCTAACTTTCTGCCCGGGATGGCTTTGAATAGAAATTCTCCTGATCTTATACTCCCAAGTAGTTGAGATTATAAGCACAAGCCACCATACCTGGCCTCAATAGCCTATTCTCAAATTAAAATACAATGTGACAAAAACTTACTTACTACATGTAAAATGTGAAGTGCTATGCTACACTGATATTAAAAGTCAATGAAGATGGGTGATGGTACACATCTGTAATCCTAGCACTCACAAAGATTGAGTCTGAGGCCAGCTTGGACTACTTAGTGAGGACCAGTTTCAAAAATAAAGATAGATATATAGATAGATGGGAAAAAAATTAATGAAAACAGACACGGGGATAGTTATGCTCCTTAAAGGAGAAGAGTATTTGATGAATTTAACAATATTAATTTGTTTTTAATTTCTCTCTCTCTTTTTTTTTAATGGTACTGGGGTTTGAACTCAGGACTTCACACTTACTAGGAAGGCTCTCTACCACTTGAACCACTCTACCAGCCCTGTTTTGTGTTGGATATTTTTGAGATAGGGTCTCAAGAACTCTTTGCCTAGGCTGGCCATGAACCACAATCCTACTGATCTCTGCCTCCTGAATAACTAGGATTACAGGTGTGAGACACTGGTGCCCAGATAATTTATCTGTTTCTTAATGTGAACTGTAATGTATTGTTATAGCTACATATTTTATTTCATCTGAAAAATAAATCTGTTAAGGTATATACAAACCTTTTGAGTCTACAATAAATATCATAGTCACATACCAACAGATTCTGTGTTTTAAAACTTGAGTTGGTTACCATTGTAAGAACTGAAAAATTAGCAAAGGAACTCAAAAGGCTAGTCTTCAAGCTGCTATTACTGTGTGAGTATGAATTTAGCAAAAACAGTAACATTTACATCGATTATGCTTTATAAAGCACATTAAAGTTATCTATATTTCCAATAAAAATAAAAGTATATGATTAAAATATAAATATGAAGAGTTTTAGTGTTTTAATAGCAAGACAAATTTATTTTTATGAATACAGTATGTGAAGGTTTTATAAAGGTCAAACTTTACAAAACAATACTCTTAAATTCTGCTTTAATTTATGAAAGCTACAGGTAAATACATGTTATTTATGCCTCATTTGTAAAATGGCAGGCATGTTTCAAAAATGACTCGTAAGGCATTAAGATTATTGATATTTAATATATCTATTTTGACAATCCAATTTATGAAACAAATACTTTAAATAAAATTTACTCAGCTTTAAGGAGCTATTATAGAAGATATTACAAACTTATAAAAGTATCAAGTTCGTTTTCTTGGTTCTAGAAAAATAGTATTTAAGTGCTATAGCTAAGTAGACTAAAAATACCAATATAATTCACCTGATTTTACAGACTCTTCCAAGTTAAAACAATTAAGTGGACTATATTTCATTTTATATGCATTTAAATGTACTTAATCATCACAAATGCAATAGGAAACAGAGATCTGAAGAACTGATATCTAAACCCTTGCTGGTAGATGGGAGAAAAACAAGATTTGTAGGGAGGGGTTCTAAAACGTTTCTCTCAGAGCTTGAACAAAGTTCAAAATAGTCCACTGAACTGACTGCTTACTGAATGGGCTGACTCATGTCAATTTTTAATAATCTGCTTCATACTTCCTATACCTAAACAGTGTGTGTTTGCATGGACACACACATTTTTTCCAGTAAAGAAACCTATGTATTTATTTCCATTCATCTTACTTGGGCCATATCCAATAATATGTGCTAGTATTAGAATTATACTTATATTTTAAAAACAGAAATTATACTTAATTTCTTAAGTTGTAGTTCTTTCAGAAATAATTAAATGCAAATAAGATCTTGCTTAATATATACACACACAAATATCAAAAGCTAAATGATATATTATAAAGCAATGTTAACTTGTTTTATAATTTGGGACTTAATCACTTAAGAATTTATCAAAGCTAAGTAAAACCACATAGTAACATTCAGTGCCTACTAAGATTCTTCAAAATATAAACTTCAACAATACCTTCCTTTTTGGGTGACAGACAATATCTGCCTCAAACCAAAAAGGGGAAGGGACATTCTGATGAAAATATTAATTCAAACAAAAGTAGCTACCTTGTTTCAATGTTTCTTCAGAAAATTTTAAGTTTAAATATTCACACACACACAAAAAATAAATATTCACACACACAAAAAAAATAAATAAATATTCACACAGAGATACATTACATACATCCATACATAGCAACTCAGAAAGCATATCTGAATGAGCTGTTTTATTAGGTTTTACCTATCCCAAGGAGCAGAAGTCTCAAAAGATTCTCCTAATATATAATAGTCCAAACCCAAGTCCTGTTAAGACACAAAAATCACAAAATTGTAACAGATGCAATTATCAATAATATTGCTAGTATTACACATTTCTAACAACTCTTCTTTACTATCTATCTCATAAGAGCGCTGGAAACTTTCCCTGAGAGTCAGCTATTACAAAAAAATTAGGCACCAAGAAGAAAGGAATGGGAAATAGAGAAATTGGAAAGGGGTATATTTTCCTTTCTTTGTATCAATTTTTCTTTTAAAACAAATTTAGAAAATATAGTACCACCCTTTGAAGTGACAAAATAGAACATCTGAAGCCACTCTGCTGGGAAATATATATAACATACAACATTTAATACTTTCATTATTAAGTAACTTATAATATTTAATTCCTTTACCCAGAGCAAAATTGTTTTATTATCAAAGCTGTGAAGAAAGATTCATAAACTGCCGAAGAAATGTAAATATTTTAAAGAAAATTTTATAAGGTAGAAAAATCAATACATATTAAGTACTTCAACTCTGTTAGTGGTTGGCAGGAAAAAATCTCCTGATAACTGATGTGATCTAAAAATGTTGTGTTTTTCTCTTATGCATTCATGTGTTAAATTTATAACCTGCTTGTCTAGGCTTCCACATTAACTAGTACCTTAAAAGTTAAGGTATTTAAGATATGTACTTGTTACAGTTATATATCATGTTCTAGAATTCTGAACAGAGTATATGGTAAAACGGTCAACATACTCAGAGAAAACATCTATCAAAATTTTATGTACACTCAAAACGCTTCCTCCTATGGGAAGAACCTAGTAGACTGACAGTCTATGGAGGCAGATATTACTTCTAAGATCTAAAGTCATCTACTTCCTTTCATAATCTACACATCGCTTAATGAGACTAACACAGTCAACAAGCAATAAATGCACTTTTCTGTATCAGTATCACTGGGGTGGGGAAGAGGTCGAAGACTTATGATATGCTTCAAATTCAATGCAATTTAATAATTAGATCTTAGCTAAGACTAAAAATATTTCTAAAGTGAGAACACATTAATTCAAGCTTTCTTAGAGAAGTAAAAACAAATTTTACATGAGTTTATGTAATCGGTTCCTGCAAAACAATTTCCAAGTGAAACATTAGAAAATTTAGTATTTAAGGAAGCCAAATTCTCAGTAGCGTAGCTGAGAAAGGAATTTTTAGAATGAGATCATTCAGCTGGTAGAGTAACTCAAGTGGTAGAGTGCATGCCTGGCAAGTGTGAGGTCCTGAGTTCAAGTCCCAACACTGCAAAAATTTCAGTTTTTAAAGACAGTTCAAGATTTATGTATCTTTAAAACAGATTATAAATGGAGTGAGAAATGTTGCTAAATAACAGCTTGGTTCTAATCAAGTAATGTTAGGAAAGGCAGGCATGCTGAGCTTTCAGCTAGAGAACAACTCTCTTATTTAAAGAGGAGAAAGACAAGAAGTCATCTTAAGTTCTTTACAAATACACACAACAGGTCTACATGGGATTCTGAACATTCACTGCAAAGCCAGGATTCATGTAAAATCATGTGCTAAATTAAAACTAAAAAACATAGAAGGCAACTTCATTTACTCTAAGTAAAAAAAGTATTATTTATAACATAAATTAAGTGACAAAGGAAAAATGATATAACATACTCGAATGTATGCAATGACATAGGTCAGCAGATAACCTCTCTGTCCATTATCCTCTCCAGCTGCCAGTCCACTGTAAATAAAGAACAAACTTAATGTATTTTAAATGAACTATTAAAAATATATAAAACTTGATACCTTAAGATAACTGCTTAATAGATTAACATATACTGCATGGCATCTCATTTTTATCTTAATTTCATTTATCATAAATGTATCAAGAAACTGCCAAAGCATCTGAAATATGACATGGTATTATTATATTATTTAAATAATAGACAAAGCACACTTATGAAAGTATCAAAATTTATAAAGCAATATAGACAAGTATAAGACCAACAGGTTCAGATCTTATGACAAAGAACTTATAAACTATCCCTTTCCATATGAAAAAAAATGTTATCCACAGAAATTATATGATAGTATAGTTAGAATTAATCCCATATGTAATCCCATATGTAATTCAGTTATTCTTATTTTAATTTTAAATGAAAGAATATTGTTTTCTACAACCTTCAGTAAATAATTTCACTTATATTTTTTTCTATCATCACACAGAATGGAATAATTGTTTTTTTTCATGGTCTCAATTAACATTTACTATTAAATCCTTTCTTTTTCTAAAGCTTGTTAGACTTACAGATATACTCTTGCTCTATACAAATACTGAAAGGCAGTCTCACACTAGCATATGTGGGCTACATCAGAATTTTCTGACGACAAACACATGACAGAAGCAGCCCTGGTTTAGAATTACTTGAGGGTGGGGTCTATTAAAATGAAGGGGATTGTTTGTATTAAGAGGATGTTAATAAGCAAAGAAGATAGAACTTAGGTCAAGTTGCCAAAAGTGGTAAGTTAAGAAAAGAAATTCCGGGTTGGATGTGAAATCAGAGGTAGAGAGCCAAATAAAATTCCAAATCCAAAGAACTAGTCAGAAAATTGTGTGGCAAGTGCTTGGAGGAAATAGCTGAATTTATAGTTCAGGTAGATGTGAAACAAAGTCAAGACCTTAGTCTAAGAGAGAAAAAAACCTACAATCTAGGAAATAGAAGCAGTTCACCCTGGACCAAGTGGTAGAAGAAAAGGAAAGCAGAGAGATGCTGCAAAAGACTTTGCTCAGAATCTGTGAGAGGGAACACGCTAAGTACGTTATGTGGTGAGAAGTAACAGGCATGTTAGTAGGCCTGTCTTTAATACATCAGGATGAGACAAAGCCATGGTCTCCTGTTCCAGGTCAAGCCATTTTTCTTTTGATCTTCTTCTAATAATTAGTGTGGGATGGAAGGAGATATGTTCCACTCTGGGATCCAGCGGGACAAACCACACAGGAATGTGCATTTTTTGCAGTCTAAAGCAGGAAAAAAAATACAACTGGATGTCCATTCTATTCATAAACCACAAAAGAAAAGAAATGCAGTCAGGGCTTGCTTTTCTTAATCATTAGTTTCCTTGCAAATTTAGCTTTGTGGAACTTCTCTGTTTTTAGCTTTCAGAACTGTCAATCTTCTAACCAGAATAACCTTAAGATGCAATATGTGAACAATTGCAGAGGTCAGAAATTAAAGCTTCCAAATTGCCACTTTCACAGCCACTCTCCAAAAAACTACACTCAGATTCAAACTGTTTCATTTTATTTTTTTAATCTTTTATTATCATATTACTGTTGTACTGGGGGTACACTGTGACTTTAAACTGCTTTATTTTAAAGTAGCATATTCATCCTCTACTTTCTACTCTCTCCACAAATTTCAATCATCAATTCAAGTTTCTTAACCATATTTAAAACTGTTTCATGAGGAAGGACTGGGAAGAGTAAAGAAAGAAGAATAAGAGAAAATCATCTTATTCAAAAGGGCCATCTGGTGAACCTAATCACGCTTATGTTGAATTATGTTAAATATCTTAAGCACACTTTAAAAATAATGGTAACATTCTCTTAAGTTCTACAGTAAATGTCAAAACACTTATCAGAGTGCTGAAAGGTAATGTTTATTCTGCATAGCTCATAGAGAAGTAAAAGTGAATTACTAGCAAACATGGATAGATAACCAAAGTATGATCATTTCGATATTTAGCTACTATGCTGTGATAGGTCACATGTGTTCTAAGGCATTTAACAGTATTAGGTGGGAGTGGATGGCAAGGAAGAAAAATGAGTTAAGACAACACATAAAAGTATTCTAAACTATTGGAAATATGTCATTAAAAACAACCAATTTATGCTACTGAGATAAAAGGAACAGAGAATAAAACAAAAGAAAGAAAAATGAAGGATAGATTAATAGTGCCCCAATTAAAAATAAAATACAGGGTTGGGGGCATGGCTCAAGTGGTAGAGTGCCTGCCTAACAAACGTGAGAACCTGAGTTAAAACCCCAGTACTACCAAAACCAAACTTTGGGACAGTAAACAGGGAGGGTAAAGGAGGATGAATATGGTCAATGTATTTTGTATGAAAACTGAACAATGAAACCTACTGAAATTGTTACAAGGAGGAGGAGAGGGGATGAAGGAGAATGACAGAGGGGTGAATCTATTTAAGCTACATTGTAAGCACATAGGTCAATATCACAATAAAACCCCCTGTACGACTAATATATGCCAATAAAAATTAACAATAAAAATAGTGTAGGCAGACACTTTCTGTTAGGAACTAGACAGTAAATACGTTAGACTTTGTTAAAATAAATAAAATACATAAGCTAAACTAACATAAAAATTGTAGCAGAAAGAAATGTGATGGTGCTTTCCTTCAAATTGTTATGCAGACAGAGAAATGACTGAGGATTCAGGGTTGATCGGGTGGCACCTGAACAATAAAATACTCCTGAGTTCAGTAATTAAAACAAAAAATTAGTGTCTACAGAAATCTGGGGGGAAATCAGTACCTCTGCTAGAAAACCAAAAGAAAATGTTTCCAAGTATTAAAAATATCAAATATCCCTAAGTCATCCCCCTAAAGACAATCTGGGTTGTTCAAAACAGAAAAAATTCACATTTAAATGAAGGAAACCAGGATGAAAATACATTAAGAAATTAATTACAATGTAACTAAGAAGGAACAATATAACTTATTTTTAAGTTGTGTGGATGGCATGTGGAAAACTGTCATTTCTGACATTTATAATGATGGCTCAAATGAAGCAATACTGATAAAATGGTCTGACAAAGACCAAAAGGCTAAAATATACTGTTTTATAGGCAGAACTGTAATTAGGCATAAATGCAGTAGAAATAAAAGGTACCAGGTAAAAATACACTACTTGGTTTCATTAATTCATTAAACAAATATTTCATCAAGCCTGCAGTATGCTCCAGGAATCAACAGCGATGCCCTGAAGAGGCAGGTCATGTCTTAAAAAATTGTGTGTGAGGTAGTACAAACAGGAATTTTCAACCATTAACCTACCATAGTACACAGGAAATGTGGTACATTTACTAACTAGTAATGATTTGCTAGCTGCTCTAAACTGTAAATTATTAATCCTACAAAGAGGAATTTGTGTGTGTGTGTGTGTGTGTGTGTGTGTGTGTGTGTGTGCATCTCTGTGTTTGCAGTACTGGGCTTTGAACTCAGGGCCTCATGCTTATTAGGCAGGCACTCTTATCACATCACTTGAGTCACGTCCTTGATCCTCAATCTCTAATATTTAAGATTACTGCAGCTATAAAAGATTTTAATTTAAATCTCTTCAATTGTTTGTAGATAAACAGTATTGGGTGTTTTAAGAAAAAAAAATCTTTTGATCAAACTATACATGTATTCCATCTGTAACTTAGAAACTAAAAAATAGGTACACATATTAGGCAAAATTCCTTCTTTGAAAGGAAACATGTACATTTAAAACTTTCAAACAAAAATGAGACAACTTGAAATCTAAATCATTTGGTCTTTAAGTGAATCTTTACAGCACAACTACTTTTAACTAATCTAGTTAGGACATCAGTAATTCCCCCAAAAAGATACTAAGAGGAAAAGTAAATGATTAGTGAACTTTATCTTTTACTAAAGAAATTAAAATTTCCACTTGTCAATTTTCAGAACAGGATAAAAATAAAAGTGAGAGATTAATTTTCCGTACTCAAAAACAGTACAAAAATAAACTAACAATTAAGCCCAAAACTAGATCCTTTCCTCTCAAGAATAATGAACTTTACATATCTGTATGAAAATAGAACGATGAAACCTATTGAAATCATTTTAAGTAGGGGAAAGGGGAGGAAGAAGAATGACAGCAGGGATGAACCTAACCAAGGCACACTGTAAGCATGTATGAAAATGTCACAATGAAACTCCCTGTACAATTAATATATGCTAATGAAAATGCTTCTTTAAAAAAAGAATCTTAAACTTTAAGTTCAGATAATCCTAGAAGGACTAAAGTGATATATGAGGAAAATACATAATGCTGGGTGCTGGTGGCTCATGCCTATTATCCTAACTACTCAGGAGGCAGAGATCAGGACGACTGTGGTTCAAAGCCAGCCTGGGCAAATAGTTCACAAGACGCTATCTTGAAAAGAACCCATCACAAAAAAGGGCTGGTGGAGTGGCTCAAGGTGTAGGTTCTGAGTTCAAGCCTCAGTACCACAAAACAAAACAAAACAAAATTGGCACATTGTAATTGAAATTAAGTGTTCATTTGTTTTTTTTTAAAGGAAGAGAATATAAAGAACCCAGACTAAGTGTAATGTGTATGATATACTTTAACTGCCAAAACAAAAAAGGTAAAGACTAATGTCTAGCAAACTATTTGTTTATGTATTTAAAAAGAAAAGGAAAAAAAATGTAGTCCTGATAAATGGCATTTCCACTATAGTTTTCATTAATCCATCTTATAATCCATCAAGCAAACAAAGAGAAACCACCCTGTAATTACTCAGTTGGTTACAGAAGTGAAATGTTTTTTTTTTTCTTTTTTTTAAATACCAGTACAAAACCGTAAGTGACAGGGGGCGGAGCAGAGATAATTTATCAGGCACCATGGATTAAACACAATTTCCTTTTAAAAACATACTAATAGTACGCTTTACACATACACTATTAACACTAAAGAATAACATGAGAATAATTTTTTCTTATTTTATTCTTGAACAAGTAACAAACATCACAAAATTGCCATTAATGCAAAAATATTTAATAAAACTGTATGTGTAGTTAGACAAGAGTAGCATATTAGTCTAACTTCCTACAAATTTTGGAAGTAAAGCAAAATACCCTTCTTAAATTTACTTTCATAAACTACCAAAAACTTAACAGACAACTTAAATTAATAACTGCTTGGAAATGAGCAATTTGCATGGCAACACTAATGCCTAATACATTAAAAATTGCTTGAGGCAGTAGAATTTTAGCTTAACTTTTTATTGACATTATAAACTTAAAACCATACCCAAATTTTGCAGCAATGTCATATACTTGTTTTTCATGTTGAAGAACCTTCTCACGGTCCCCCTCAAACAGTAATGTGGCCACACTTAGTTGATTTGGATCAAATCCTTTAAACTACAAAACATAAAACAAAATTTTATTTTAGATAAGTCTTATCCTACAAAAGAGTAAAGCAAAATAAATTTTACTCTTTTCTTTTTGATCTGGGCTCAAATATACCACCTTCTTAAAAATTGAGCTTTGTAACTTTACATGTCAATTTAATAAGAATGCTTAGAGCACCTACTCAGGTCATTAAATATGGAGACTGGGGATGCCACTCAGTGGTAGAGCACTTGCCAAACATGCATGAAGCTCTCAGGTTGATCCCCAGATACCACAAAAACAAAAATTTATACAGCATATTTCAAAGTATACTATGGTGTTAATCATAATGACCAGCAAGTATACAAGGTATATAAGAAATAATTTGTCAGAATTATAACTATAGTGAAAAATCAAATAAAAACTACAAGATGACAGCACAGAGTAGCTGGATGTAGGGGGGAAAACAACATTCCTATATACCAACAATAACTTATTAAATAATATTTTCAAACAAGATTCTGTGAATAAAATTAAAAGAAACAACTAAGATTAATCTTGGAATATACAACTTTATTAGGAAAATAAGTCAAAAAAAGATAAGAAAGATACATGCTACTGAATTCATAAACTAAGTATTCTCAATACCTGCCTAAATTACAATATTACTAAGTCCAATTCAAATAAAAATACCAATGGACTCTAAAAGGATAAAGAGTTTCTGAAAATCTTCTAGAATAATAAACACGAGGTAATGATGATAGCAAGCAAAATTCTAAATAACAAAAAGGGAAACCAGACCTACAACAATTAAATCCATTTAAGTTTTCAAGAACAAAAAGCTCATTAAAAAAAATAAGAAACATTAAAAACATTAAAATAGAGTCTATTTCTTGCATAGGTACTATATAAAAAGATGTCTTAGGTATGGCAAATCAATGTTAAGAGTAGCAAGAATCAGTTATAGTCACTGGTGCTGATGAAACAGATTAGCAATTGGAGAGCAGAAGTAAAGATTACTTTAGATTTTCTTTTTTTTGTTTTGGTGGCACTGAGGTTTGAACTTAAGTGCCTCAAGCTTGCTGGGTAGGTGCTCTACCACTTGGGTTATGGCATGGCCCAAGTCCTAAAATTAATTTAGATCTTCATCTCACATCATAAAACTCAAAATACATGCAAGTGGTAATAAAAAAATTGCTTAAATTCTCATTTAACACAAAAGAGAAGCAAATGAATCTCATGATACTTGTGGAGAAAGGAAAGCTTTTCTAAGCTTAGTAGTGATTACATAATCACAGGGAAAGATATAAATTTGGAACTCTGACACCAAAAAAAGAAAAAAACCCTATTAATAAGGGAGACATTTAACTGGAAAAAGTTATTTACAAAATTTATTACAAAGACTGGCTGTGGTAATTCATACCTGTAATCCTAGCTACTGGGAGGTTGAGTTCAGCAGGATTGTGGTTGAAGGACAACCCAGGCTAACAGTTACCAAGCCCCCCACCTCAACTGATAAAAAGCTGGGCATGGTAGCACATGCCTGTCAACCCAGTTATTTGGGAAGTGTAAACAGGAGGATCTCTGTTAAGCCATGCTGGAAAATATAAAAGTGAAATCCTATTCAAGAAAGAATTAAAGCAAAAAAAAACAAGTGCTGGCGGCATGGCTCAAGTGGTAGAACGTCTGTTTAGCAAGCGCAAGGTCCTAAATTCAAGTCACAGTACCATTAAAAAAAAATTATGACAAAGGGCATCTAATAATTCCATTATTCACACATCTGCACCAAGAAGACACACTGTATCTAACTAATTCACACCAAAATTACATCAGGAAAAGTGTTCAGTCTCTCTGGAGTTTCAAAAAACATCAACTAAAATAAAGTACTATTTTCCCCTAGTAATCTTATAACAACAAAAACCCTGTGCAGTAACAAGACTACAAAAAGACATGACACATATTTATTGCTGTTGGTAATATACGCTAGTATAACCTTTCAGGAAAGCAATTTAGTAATCAAAGGTTAAAAAAAAAATCCATAGTCTTTATTTGACTTCTAAGTATCTATAGTAGAGAAAAAAAATTCAAACTATAGAAACTGTTATCAGCAATAGCCTATCCAATACAGTGTTATTTTTTTAGAAGCCTTAAAACTAAAAAAGGAAAATTTGTGAAACTGCATGGTTGATATGACCAAACAATTACTCCAACATGAAAAATAAAATGTACACAGCAATACGGAAGAACATCCTTACCGGAGGTGCATGCAAGGAGAAGTCAGGAAACAAAACTAATTAATACCCCAATTGTTTAAAAAGTTAGCATGTTGTAAGAAGTCTTACCTTTGTAATATAAAACTTTTTTAATCCATCCAAAAATGATGTAAAAATAGAGGAAACCTGAGGTTTAAGGGCATGACCTAAGAAATAAGAAAAATAAATTTATATTTTAAATTAATAAATTGTGTTTTTCAAAGGATAAAAAGGCTACTTCAGTTTTTAATCCTGTTTTTAATTATATTAAGATCATCTTTTTATCTTAATTTTCTTTAGAAGTCACAAACAACTTTTTAATTACACAACCCATTCTGTTTTTTTATTAAGTAAAATTACTGTATATAATTAATACTATACATAGTTTAGGTTATTGTTCATTGTTACAGTTTATATATAATAAAACTAGTTCATTAATTTTTATTTCATTAAGAACACCCTATGGTGCCTGTTTTTACTTTTTTAATTATACAAAACCAATTCAGAACCACAACCAAATATGGCATCACTGCAAAGTTTAAGGTTGTTTCTTAATTATTTTTTAATTCATTCAGAATTCTTGGCATAAAACCAGCAATGCTTCTTTAATCACACCCAGAGAGTTAAAATTGCCAAAATAACATCTCAGAGTCTGTTAAAGTAACATCTTTGCTACATATTAAGTTAACTGAGCGAAACCTTTTGCTATGTTCACATTGTTTTCAGAGCAGCAACTTCTTTGCTCTCATGACTGTTACATTTACGAGTCATGCATCTGGCTTTAGTTCTATGATCCCAACTCAGAAAAATACCACATACCATTTATTTAGAATTCTTATATAAGGAATTTTACAGCCTTTAGCAAAACTGAAATTATCTCCAAATAAAAAAGGTTATTTTTTTAAAAGTTGTTAAAGTTTGGAGATTTTGTTTGCTTTTAAAGTTTATGATACTTCCTTTAAAATAAATGCAAACTGGGCTGGTGGAATAGCCCAAGCAGTTGAGTGCCTGCCTAGCAAACATGAGACCCTGAGTTCAAACACCAGTACCACCAAAAAAAAAAGAGAAAGAAAGAAAGAAAAATAAATAGCAAACTAGCTGTCCTTACAAACTATCACTAGTAGTCTATTTTTTCCAATCCATCTATTTTTTAAGTGAGAATTTCAATATGTAATACTTTAATTACATTTTTTTGCTGACTATAATAGAAAACTGGGTTACATAAAAGAACCAAATAATAAGTCTTAACCAGAGGCTAAGAGGTAACTCATGTTATAATTGAGGAGTAAAAGAAAACAAAAAAGCAAACAAACAAGAAATGAACTGCAGATTAGATAGAGACCAACCAAGCAATTTTTTTCAGCTCCTAGGTCAAAAGTAAGAGATCTGTTTAAATTTTTTTCTTTCATTGTAACCTATCAGAGGTGCTTCTTTAGCATAACCAATGCTTTAAAAGATACAATTTCTAGCATGTGTAAAGTTAAGAGTAACACATCATTAAAATATTTACTTCCCACGTTAATTACTGAAAATGTATAAACATGTGTTGAGTATGTGTGTTGTACTCTTGCAAAAAATGGAAATTATTCTTTATACAAAAGTCTCCTAATCCATTTATCTTCATACAATTCATAAGAACTCCAAATGTTACTGCACTAATGTTAAATAATCCTTGAGAATAATGTTCGCTTTAACCCACAGACATTTCTGTGTATAATATTCATTATACTTGAGAGTTAGTCACATATATCCCCAAAACTGAGTTAGTACAGCCTTGAAGAATAAATTATTATAAAAATTATACTGACTTTTAAGTGGATTAAGCATTAGTATTAACTAGAGGATATTATTATCTTTTACTTTTTCTTAAATTAATGTTTCTTATCAAATTAACTACATTCTAAATATATCCTGGCTAGTATATTTTTTTTTTACAGTAAACTATTCAAACTTAATAGCTGGACAGTTTGATTAGTGAATTTTGTGTTATGTTTGTTCAGTAATTTAAAAGGATTTCTTTTAAATTTAAAAGGATTTGAAGTAGTTTGAGATGATAAGGAAGTCTTGGACTGTGGAATCAGACAAATTGGATTCAATCTCAGCTCTACCATATATGACTCGTAGACTTGGACAAAATATTTAGCCTTGAGTTATTCATAAAATGGGAATATCATCTTGGAAGAACTGTTGTGTGGAGATATTTGATGAACTGTACTATTGATAAAGAGTTCAACACTGTGCTATGAGCTATCTAGGATTTGTTCACTATTTCCAGTTCAATAATTAATTCAACCAACATCTAAATGCCTATTGTGGGGTAAGTGTAACAAATATAAAAATGACCAAGAAATGTTCCCTAAATTTGAGAAAACTTGATACAAAGAGGAAATCTGTAGACCAATTTCAATATACTGAAGATAGGTCATTTCAATATACACTATTAAGGGATGTACCAGAGAAGGTGTGATGTTAAAAATTAACAACTGAAAATACATCTTGTACTTTATTAACCAGGATGGTACAACACTGACCAATCAGCCATAGGGCTGGTGAAGGGTTCTGGATATCCCTTGCTATCCAAAGTGTTGCTGTTTTAGTGCTTGATCAGGAAGCCATGACAGAATACATAGATGGAAAGACTTCAATAGATAATGAAGAATCAAAAAGGTTATAGCCAACCAAGAGGCACAATCTGATCTATATTTCAAAAGGACCATTTTTGTAGGTAAGTGAAGGATAGAGGGAGGAGAGACACAGTCAAGACTAGAGGGGGCAGGACCTATGGACCTAGAATGTCAGCATGTTTCTAGGAATAGAATACAAATGTAGAACTGAACAACAGATTGCCAGAAGGGCCTTTTCTCTAAACTCTCATTTTCAATTGTTAGAAATCTTACTTATAAAATCTGCCAAATTATACTTAGTTTTACAAAGATACCTATGTCTAACATAATTTACTACAACAGTAACATGTAAACAGATAACAATGATCTTATTCATTAGATACATGGCCCTATAAAGACCTAAATCTCTAAATGCAGGCCAAAACACACAAGCCTGATTTTTATTTAACTTGACTATTTAATTATTTATATGACATATTTAACTTAAACTTTTGATTATCAATAATACAGTATTTTGAATGTAATTTATTCAAAGAAATTAACTGCAACTGACTTAGAAGAATCTAATTCAAAAATTAACTTTTGATATATTTTTCCTTAGTTAAGTTTTTATGTAACTATAATCATTCTTCCCTAAAGTAAAATCTAAGCTTCTCTTACACATTACAAACAAAAGCCTGCGTATCTTAGCCTCTAGTACTTATTACTGAACAATTATTCCCATAATTTCAAGAACTGCTCCAAGAGTTCTTAAATTATATAAACTTAAATTCCAAAGTAAATTTCAGTATATGAAAAATGCATGATAGCAACTGAAAACATGATTAATAAACTATGTCAAAAAGTTTAAAACTTTAGATAAAGCAGAAGAAAAATGTTTTCAAGAACTGCCTATTGAAAACCCAACCCAAATACTACAACAGAACTTCACATCAACCCATCATAGTATCTTTCCCCACAAATCAATATTAACTTTCCACATCCAGTTGGCTGTTTTTTTTGAAAAATCTATCCTCTACTCTCTATTCTCAACTGATGCTGCCCTGCTCTTAACACTGTTTCACCTTCTAGTATTTCTCTATCATGTCTCTACCTTTCTAGTCTACCCTGAGACATGCCGCCAGAATGAGCTTTCTAAATGGAAAACTGATTGACATTATTCCCTCTACAAAGAAATCCCACTGCCTTTAAGATAAAATTCACATCTATTTTGCAAAACCTTAAATGAACACTGTAGGTTTCTCTAATTTAACAACCTTGCCCTACCCTCTATTTGAGGCATACAGAACCACTCGAAGTACACTAAAACATGCCAATGAGATTTCACAGATTCATAGTCTGGCTGACAAGTGAACAAGTTTGGTAGGGAAGATGAAGAGACTATCTCAGGCAAACCTCTATTTTTCTTTGAAAATTTAACTCAAGCATCTCTGTCCTTTTCTGACTCTCCACCTCTACCCTGAACAAAATCAAGTAGAATCAAACATCCTTCACTTATGATCCACAGTATTCAATGAAGTCTTCTTTCAAAAAGCCCTCCAACATTACTGCATTCATTTATTTTTGTAACTGTCTGTCCTCACTTGACTGAAAGCTTCCTGAAGGGCAGGAACCATGATACCTTTCGAGCTATGCAAAATTTGGAGGCAAAATAAACAGATTTTAAAATTACAACTTCTTATTTACTTACCAAACTGAAACTGCTGGTTGTCCATGAGACGAATAGATGCAGGAGCACATCTCTGTTTAAAAAAAAAAAAGGATACACATTTAATACAGTAAGAAACCATACAAGTAGAATATTATCTTTCTGTATATGAGGCCTAAAGACATATAGAAAGAAAAGAATCTTAACTTTTCATGTAATTTTGTGAAGACAAATAAAACACCAGTGGTTTCTATATAATATTTGGAGGAGAAATCTACTACAAAATACACAAATAATTTATCAGATCTTTGCTTAGCAAAGACCTGTCCTTAATGCAAAGACCAATGGGAATAGCCTGCATGAAATACAAGACCGCAATGCAGACTAGTTTAGAACAAAGCAGAATTTTTTTAAAAGACTAAGAATAGTGACTCAAGAACTATCTATGTATCAACTTTATTGTGTTAGGTTCTTGTACAGTTGTAAAAATTAGGAAGACAGAGGTGGAAATTTTCATGTGCCAAAGAACTTCCAAAATTTATCTGTAATGTCTTCATAGATAACTCTAGGAATCATTCCTTCTTTTTAATCCCTACTTATAATTCATTTTAAAAGAAAAACCATCCAGACAGGTGTTCTTTCAAGGTTACTTGCATGAAAACAGCAATGAAATTTGAAGGATAAGAGTATGTGTCTAAAGAATAAAAAACTACACTAGTGTGTTTATTTAAGCACATGTTTAAAGTTGCAAGGGAAGAAAACAGATGCAGGTTGAGTTAACCTTAAACTGAAACCTGAAATGTTCTTAAATTCTTTTTTATTTTATTTTTTTTTTTTTGGCGGTACTGGGGTTTGAACTTAGGGCCTACACCTTGAGCCACTCCACCAGCCCTTTTGTGTGATGGGTTTTTTTCAAGACAGGGTCTCACAAACTACTTGCCCTGGCTGGGTTTGAACCACGATCATCCTGAGTTCGTGAGTAGCTGGGATTACAGGTGTGAGCCACCAGTGCCTGGCAAGTCCAAAACTTTTTGAGCACCAACTTGTCACACACAAAGTTACAAATATTGGAGCACTCTGAATTTCTGAATTAGGAATACTCAGCTAGTAAAGTAGTCTATGTAAATACTCAAAAGTCTGAAAAAATCTGAAACACTTCCAATCCCAAGCATTTTTGGATTAAGGGATATTTAACCTGCATTCGTATTAATTTTGTGATGAAAATAACAATAATACAAACATTATCAAGGTTCACATTAGCTATAATTTCTCCATAGAATCAAAATTAAGTGAGCTAAGTCTCATTGAACAAAGAGTTTTTTTTTTTTTTGAGATGGGGTTTTGCAATATGGCCCAGGTAGGACTTGAACTCAAGATTCTCCTGCCTCAGCCTCCTGAGTGTTGAGATTACAGGCATACATCATGATGCCCAGATCAGAATTTTAATTTTCTTTACAAATTTTTAACTTGGCTAAAGTTCTCCTAAGTAGTTGCTTTTAGACCAAAAATTTTGACAAATGTCATAAACTTCTTAAACATTTATCTCCTGAGCAGTATTTATCAAAATCTCCATCAACAGAAATTTCTAGAATTCACTTAAAAGACTAAAACAATACACACCTTAGCTGTGCATTAAAACATTTTTTGCTATTATGTTTTTGATTATTTAATTCTCATAAAAACACACTATACAATTTATTTCACCTAATAAAAAGACTAGATATGATTCTCGTTTTGAAGACTATACAATTTATTTATCCAACTTTGATAGTAAAAATGAGGTAATTCAATTTATTTTTAAAAAATCACTGCCAAGTCTAAAGAAATAGTATTAAGTATATTATAATAACTTATCACCTTACTTTTTAGAGAATCCTATCGGTTTCTAAGCTGCTGTGATATGATGTTCTTATATAAGCAACAACTCTTGTGAGGGCTGTAAAACTAATATTAACCTCTTTTACAGATAAAGATACAAGAGTCACTGAGATCAAAACACTTGCTCAAGGTCAGATGACTGCTAAACAGTAAAGACAGAAGTAAGACCAAGATATCCTGAGTGCTAGATGAATACAACTTCAAGAAAATCACACAACCTTAAAAAAAAAAATCACTTAAAACACACACGGAATTTAAATTCATATTCAAAACAAAAAATCATATTAAGACTAGCTTGTGATCATATTACAAGTATAATCGTTAAGACAAAAAACTTACATTCTGAGTACTAAGGTTGTCAAAGTAGTTAATAATTCTTAAAAATGTTACCAGCTTCCAAAATATTAAAAGATAATCAATTTTCTTCACATGTACTACTTGGGAATGCTCTGAGTAAGTGTACTGACTTCTAATATAACATATGAAGCCTGATTAGATCAAACTTTCTTCGTAAAAGAGAATATCCATGAATATACATATTGATACACTTTGGTCTAAGTATACAAATGAAATATGAAAGAATTCAGAGATATTCTTTCATTTCCAGAAAAAAAATTAATTCATACCAAGAACTTGTAAATTCCTCCTCTTATCGCTAGCCAGATTCTACTTCATTTATATCCACGGCAGGGGTTATTAATAAAAACAACCAACATAAATACACATATATCAGAAAATGAGAGGAAAGTATTTGGTAATTAATCTTTAAATAAAAGTACCATATGCAGGCCTTGATTAAATCTTGGTTTATAAACACTATCCATAAAATATATTTTGGTGAAATCTAGGATAATGTGACTATACAATGAGTATTAGTTGTCATTAAGAAGGTGCTGCAGAGTTTCTTAGACTTAGTAATGGTGTTGTAGTTATAAAGAACACTGTTCTCCTATTTTTAGGGGCTAGATGCTGAGATGAAGTGTTATGTGTACATGATTTAATTTCCAGTGGTCTAGAAAACATATATACATAAATAAGGAAAAGAAAAAATTATTGAATATATGAGATCACTACATGGGTGCTTACTATACTATTCATTCAAATGTTCTATATATTTAAAATTTACAAATGAAAAAACTAAGAAAGTAGATAAGAAAGCTTCAGGGCACTTGCTATATAATACAGCTACCAATATTCAGTTAAACTGAATACGATTTTTAACCTGACAGCTGAGCCACATAAACCAGTTAATTAATACACTATTCCTATTTATACTAAGGAAGCATAATAAATGCATAGCAATACTATCAAAAAAGACCTAACAAGAAGCTAAATTAAGTTTTTGTATTCTAGATAACATTAAATTACTTTTTTATACAGTACTGGGGTAAATTACTTTTTAACACTGACTTTTTTGAAATTATGGAATTCAAACCAAGAGTTTTAAAGTTTCATAATAGTGTCAAATGTTTCAAAAGTTAATAAATAACTTTTATTAGTAACAAGAAAAAGGTTTTCTGTTACTGTCACAAATAAATATAGGTAAAGCACTATCATAAATATAGGAAAGCACTCAAAAACTAGCATCTAGGTTAGTTTGTGACCCTCTGGTAATTGATAACTTATACATAATTGTAAATATACAAAAAGTTTAGTTAAGAATTTGAAATAATTGATAATTACCACTGTAACTGATTACAGAAGTTCCTATAATCAAAGATCAAATTAATGTTATTATTCTTAAAAAACAACAATTTGAGTTGCTGTATCTACAGTTAAGATTAGGTTATGTTTCTATTGCTAATTAGGTAGATTAAAAGACTCAAGATTGTCTCTATACTTTACAGATAGCACACATTCTAATAATTGTAGATCTAAATTCACTCCAGTAAGCTGGACTGAGACTACTGTGCCCCACAAATAAAGGGAAAAAGGTCCTTGAGTTAAAGTGACCTCTGCTGGTTAGTGATCAGAACTAACATGAGTTGAGAATAATTTAACCAATTTTAATTTTAATGAATTCAACCAGTTAATTTCAAGAAACTTAATAACACACAAACAAAAACTGCCTACTCCAACAGAAGTTAATGAAATAATTATGTACATTTACTAGAATTGCTCATGTCATCTGACTTCTAGCTAAGTATACTTTACATGTAGTAAATAGTTTGAAACATGAAAATTTTACTAGAACTAATTAAGAAATAATACCTTTGTTTCACTTGAACAATGAAGAAATATATAACCACACTGACCTCAAAATATAAGTGTAAAACTGACTAAGTCAAATCGCTGGCAATTTCTTTCCTTTAAGGATGGTACAACAAAGAATTTATTTGAATATGTAACCAGAAAAATAAAAAGTAACCACTCAAATGAGCCTCATTTTACTTTGTATTAGTAGTATTATCTGAACTAACTTAAGAAGCAACAGATTTCCAATCCTCTCAACAAAATAAAAAAAAAGGCCCTTCAAGAAACACATCAAAACATTTCTGCAAAGTTCATTTTCCTAGAACTAAGCCATGGCTCTCATTTGCACTTCAGATGAGACACATTACTTGAGATGCCTGCTAATTGGCTAGTTACTGGTGAAACAAATTCAGTATTAATATATACTTCAAATGTCTGTAGGATTTCTACTATTTTAACTTCAATACTAAACATTATATACAATGCTATACAAAAATTTAAACAGAGAAGGTTATCATTATATCTTGCATACTATCTATTTCACCATGTGGATCACAAAGTTAAAAGCACATACACCACAAAAAAGACACTCACAAAACAAATTAATGAACAACTTCAAAAGAGGCTGAAAAAAATCTGTTGAATGCAAATTTCTAGAAACAAAACTTAAAACATAGTTAGGTTCTTCCTTTAACTTGTTAAGTCAGAGTTGATACCAGAGACGAAGGCATACAATATTTAAGGCTGTTAGTATTACTGGTTGATCATATTGAAAATGACATACTGGCTTACAGCTAGCATTATAAACAATAAGAACTTTATTTTTAAAGACAATTATCTCTTGGTTTTTAAAGAATGAAATAATACAATTATCGTGTCTATTTCCCTCTACTTAAAGGAAAAGCCGAAAGTTAGTACCATGTTTCCTCATCACAATTTCACATTTTTTTCGTCTTAGTAAATGTAAAATAATTTGTATTAAGTAGCTTCTGCTCAAGATCATGTCTTGTAATTGTCCTCATT